ATTTTTTTAATGTGTATAAGGTCTTCCATGAATGAGTCAGGCAGACAAGCAGGCAGGTGCCATTGCCAAGGTCTCACCATGCCATGATCCTCCCCCAGCCTCATAGCAGGCCAGGGTCACAGGTGTGTGGATGTGCCCAGGTTGACCTGGGACGTGAACCTGGGTCTCCCACATGGCTCCTGGGTCCTTCAGAGGTGCACTACTGTAGTCCACTATGGCTGGGACTTTCATTCAAGATCTAATCCCAGCATTGAACTGCTGATATTTTTTTATACATAGGATCTTTTAAATTTTGGGGACTCTCTTCATCCTACACTAAGTGCCTACATATGAAGATAATGTTTCTATGTTTCTTCTTCCAAAAAATAAATCAATAGGTAAACTTCAGGTCCTTTGGCTTTTACCTTTTTTTTTTTTTAATAATTATTTTATCCAACTTTATTTATTTAAATTTGACCAGAGTGACAGAGCAAGAGAGAGAAAGTGAGAAAGCAAGCCACCAGGTCCAGACCTGAGCTGTGATCAGCCATGTGGGAATCGAGCACCCTTATCCACCACACAACTTGCCCCCCCCCAGCTTTTCTTAATTTTAGCTTTTCTTAAGTATATTTCTAGTCCTCATTTAAGAAGCACCATTTATATATTACTCTGTTTTACTGCTTTCGCTTTGAGACCTCCTTTGGCAAAAATGACCTGCCTCATATCTTATCCAAGAGATGGATAACAGGCACTTGAGTGTTCACATGCAGAATTTTAAATGTGGAAGATTAACTATCACAAGAGGAAGTTACATGACAGTTGAATTGTTTTGGCACTGACTTTTTTTTTTTTTTTTGAGAGATTTTCACTGTAGGGCGCGTGCGCTCGCCAGACAGAGAGAGACATAGAGACAGAAAGCGAGAAATCACCCCCCAGGGGAGATGGTCACGCCACAATCCCTTCTCCTCCATTCTCCTCTCGGGCTCTTGGGCACGCACGCACACGCGCCCGGCGTGAGTTTTAAGCCACCGCGTCCGGGACACGAACCGCGGTCGACTACGTGGGAGTCCAGCGACATAGCCATTACGCTAACTGCTGGTTCCCGGCACTGACTTTGACCATGACCGAAATGTGTCTCTTTTCAACCAATAAAAATGCATGAAATTCTCAAGCATTTCATCTATGAGATTGAGATTGGCTACTGCCATTTTGCCCCTATTCTAACAGGAGGTAGAGAGAGAATGGTTTGTGACTCTCTTAGTATAGCTTTTGAGTACATCATAGGTATCTGTACTCATAGATTCTTGATTTGTATGTGTGTGTTTTCTAACAAAAATCTACGATTTTGCCGACTTGTTTTTTGGTAACCTTCTCATTCTCTCAGTTTCCTCGTGTGTGCGTCCTCATCTCCCCACCCGGTTAGGACATCAGTCATAGTGGGTAATGTTGCCTCAATGTAAAGATCCCCCTTCCAAATGCAGCCACATTTGGAAGTATCAGAAATTAGAAATTGAGTATGTGAATTTAGGGAGACATCATTTATCCCATAATTCCTTTTATCCAGGTTGATTTTAATTATTTATTGGGGATGGGATGTGAAATATAACACGATTCCAAGGGCCAACACTGATTTTCTTAATAATCATAGCTATCATATATTTATCTCTGCTCAGTCTCCCTTACCTTGTCCTCTTGTGTCCTTAAAGCATTGTCTTAGAGGATGTTTGCATCATTTTAAATTACATGTCTAGCCATCAAGCTGTCAAAAGAAAATTAAAAATACCCCAAAAAAACAAAGCCAGAATGTCTTGTTTTCCTTCACAATCTCTGCTTTTCATTTTATCATTACGTATCATCTCTTCTGCCCAGTGCCCAAAATGTTTGTTGTTAACCTAGCCCACGTAGCCAGTTTCACCTCTGTTGTCTGTCTGCAGAATTCATCTCCCTGTGTTCTGAATTGATCTGACTCTTCCACACCTTTCCTAGGTCGTGGGTCCTTAAAATGTAGACTCTTAGCATCATTTCCTGACCGCCTTTCCTTACTTGATAATGTTCTCACACTGCAGATAGTCAATAGACACCAAGCCTTAACCTCATCTTACCATTCTCAGGCCTCTCAGTAAGTTCTGATTTCCTCTCTGGCCACTTCATGTTGACGCTTCTTTTAAAACTCGCTCACGTTAACTGTAGCCTCCCACGTCTCTCCTCACCTCCTTCTCCTTCCCACACTCACGGTCATGGTTTCCACCAACCTTTTCTTCCCACGGACTGTTGAGGTTACTAAGCCCTGGTCTTTTTCTCCTGAACAGAAATTATGTTTAGTTTCCTAGAACGCACTATTGGGCATACCACTGTGGTGGAAATCAGCCTTGGGATTGAAGATGTATTTCCGGTAGCTTTCGCCATCGTCTGAACTTTCTCCCTTTCCTTCACCTTACCTCTTGTCTCAGCCCTTTCATTTACTAATAACTTCAGCGTTTCTGTGGGCTCCGTGTTTCCCAGTCGAGTGGATTAGGTTGTCGCCTCTGCAGGGAGGGTCCTCCGGTACCCTTAATGAATACTTATTTCTATCCTTACTTACTGTATCAAGTGCCATGTTCCCTGGGAAAAGCTCTGCAGGCTCACGTTTCCCTGAACAGAAGGAAGGAGGGATGAGAACAAACTTCCTGTCCCTTGACTCCCTGGCCCTGCGGTGCCCCAGCTCACAGATGTGAACGTGAAATTTGAAGAGATCAGGCACTGGGGAAATTTCTCATACGTCTTTAGCTAAAATTATTTTATTCGTTTTTAAGCTTCATTCTCTCCCTCTTTCATATGAACTGATATTACACATAAAGTAATTCATTTTCCTGACAGCCCTTTTTTAGTTTTTTTAATGAATGGCCCTTGCTTGGCTGTCTATTTTTGGAAAGGGACAAGGAAAACTATTTAAAAAGGTTGTAGTAAATGAAACCTTAGAATGTCAATTAACTCAATTTCCTTTAGGTCATAATTTTCAGTGCTCTCTTTTTTTTGGCCAGTGAAAGAGGAGGTCATGTATTTGGTAATAAAGTTTTCTTTTCTTGCCTGAAAAGCGCTCTGTGCTTAGTCCTGCCCCTGCACCTTGGTCCTGGCATAAGTACACCATCTGGATTTATCATGGGACCATTTGTAAAAAAAAAGAACCTTTTGCTATGCTTTTGGTCTTTTAAGAAGAATCTAAAGCCCAATATGGACCCGTGAGTGCCAGACCCCACCGGAAGCAGTTTGCGTTTGAGAAGGACCGCAGTACGTGAGACCGTGCGCTCTGTCCTGGTTATATCATCTTGTTTGTGCTAGTGGCTGGTTGTCATAAACTCAAGTTAGAAGTCACTGCTGTCTTCACACTTCTTTTGTTTAAGATTTCTTTGCAGAGGGAGGGTGGCAGGTGGTATGATGGTTAAGGCACTGGACTCCCACATAGCCGACCGCAATTCGAGTCCCAGACCTGGTGGCTTGCTTTCTCACTTTCCCTTTCTCTGGTCAAATTAACAACAACAATAATAATAAGCAATGTAAGTCGTTCTTTAAAAAGATTTTAGTTTTTGCTGTAGGGTGTATATGCTCGACAGAGGCAGAGAGAAACCACACACCCCCTCCACACACACACACACACGTACACACACACACACACACAGAGTCAGGGAGAGGGAATGGCCACGCCATAATCCCTTCTCCTCCATTCTCCTCTTAGGATTTTGGGCATGCACAGACACCTGGCATGATTACCAAGTCACCAGGTCTAGGACTTGGACCATGCAGCCAGCCATGTGGGGTCCAGAGCCTCCACCTCCATACCTCCCGCTGGCCCTCATGTAAGAATTTTTAAAATTTACTTTGCAGCAAATGCAGGGGTGTAGGAGAAAGGGACCAAAATGTAATTCTTTTACTGTCTGTTAGATAAAGCAAATATAAGAAGATGTGTGTGTGTGTGTGTGTATATATACATGAAGAATCATATATGAATATAAAGAACTCCAGAAAATAGTACATGATTTTGTTAAGGCAAATATAGGCTTTTGCAGATAATACCTCCTCGAGAGCTGTATAAGTGACTAAAGGTCCTGCTACAGCTCCAGCTGTGCAGAGAATCCTCTAGGCTGCCTCCTGAAAGCAGGAGCTGGGCTGTCACAGCACCGTGCGCTGCTTGAATTTGTGAGGAGCAGGAGATGCCCACGCTTACATAGCGGCCGAAAGGTAGGCCCCCTTCCTCCACGGTGGATGTTGGATGTTCTTGGACAGTTGTACTGTGGGATACAAGGGAGGGAACATATGGAAACTTTCAAGTTGAGGGGAAGAATTTATGGAGGCCAAAGAAAATATCCAATTTCCAAAAAAGAGTGAAATGAACTTGTGAGAGACGCTGTAGTAAAAATGCCTTTACAGTCATCGTATGTCCGTTTATTTATTTTTGCTTGTATGGCTGCTTCCTGTGAGGAAGAATGGAGGCATGTTTTTAATAAACTAGGAGTGCCGTTGTAGCATGGTGATGTCACCCATTGGCTATTAGACCACATGGCGTTTTTTGGGTTTTTTTCCTATCAAGTCGCTTCAGGAGGGCCCTTTGTCTGCTGCATGTCTCAGGGAGGGCCTCCCCCAGATGCACACAAAGCCCGAGCCACTCAGAAAGCCTGGGGAGGGGAGGGCCCCTGTCACTTACATTGCACTGAGCCAGGAAATTGCAGGAGAGGAGAGACATCTGGTTCCCAGGGTGCCTGAAGAATTTCCTTGAGCTCCAATTAGAGTCAGTGTGGTAGAATGTAATCCACCAGCCTGGAGAGTCCTGCTTGGGAAACCCACTGCAGCAGCTCTGGGAGCAGCAGAGGGAGGGGAGCTCTCCACTGGCTGGCTGGCTGGCTGGCTGGCTGGCTGGCTGGCGTGTGGATGCTGATCAGTCCTTGCCTGAGTGCCTGTCCCTGTCGCCAGTCTAGCCTGTGTCTGAGTGTCCAACCTTTCTCGATTTTGCTACTGAGTGTACGGAGCAAGAGGGCCAGGGTTCTGAACCTCTAGCCTCAAACCGGCTCCACTCGGCATGCCCAACGGAATTAAGCCAGTCGGCACGCTGGACCCTCTGTCGTCTGTCGGCCCAGCCTACTGCAGCGGCGGGCAGCCGGGCCCCTGCAAGTACTGGATCCTCGACCTAGGTACTCAGCCCTCCGCGCACGCTGCTTTCTTCCTGCCCTTTTCTTTCAGGTGGCTGCTTGAATGGTTGGCGTGCGCTTTAAAGCAGATGTGTTTTGTGCTTTGAAGCTGGTCGCCTTGTGGAGGGGGCTGTGTGTGGATGGCTCATAGGGACCACTAAAATGTGGTCACTAAGATGTGACAGCAGCCGGTGATCAGTGCTCTCCACAGCCCTCCATGTTCCAAGGCATCTTCACTATCTGGGGACTTTCTTGTAAGTGGTGTGTAAACAGTCTATAATCTGCTACAAATTGCCTTCTTCTGATCGGATTGGTTTTATGTCCGTTTCAGGTTTAATTTTGTTTGGGGATTTTCAGACTACTTGAGAGTATGACAGTGTGCTGGCATTGATACCTAGATTCTCTGATTCCTTCTCATAAGAACTGTGGCCAGATGATACGATCCTGGAAAGTCCTGTGGGGAAAGGGTCCTCCCCCATCACCGTTGTGTTCCATGCGAGCATCTGCTCTAAAGGCAAGCCGGGGGGAGGGAAAATCTGGTTTCTGCGAAGGTGATTGGGAAATAGATACAGTGCACTTTGAGGAAAAGACCACAGGGTACCAGAGAACCAAGGTGAGGGGGACATCAGGTCTGCGGGTCTCCAGAACCTGGTTCTGCAGAGGAGGTCAGCCTTCCATCAGGGACCTCTGACATCTGTCCAGGCCATGGCACCAACACATGGATTTCTCACAGGCCATCACCGGCGTACCAGTAGGAGTGGTTTCTACCAAGGTTCAGGGCCTGATGGGCTTCACATGTCATGTTGCCTTCACTTTCTTGCCAACCATTGTCCGGGCTGTGTGTCAGAGATGTGGGGTGCCCAGGGGCTCTGGCAGTACTTTCTAGAGTTTCCAATTCATTGCGAACCCAATATAGAAGATAGATTGGTCAGGGGACCCACCAATGAGGGAGGTATTAGTGCAAAAGGGGGACGCAGAAAATGTGCCTTCAGCAACTATTGGGGGTGGCACCGCTTAACTCCAGGTGTTCGTTTGCGGAACACCAGAGAAACAAACAAAATTGCCCTCGATTAGGGGGCCCTTGAGGAGGTAAGTGTTGCTGTATGAACTTATTGTTGTAAGCATCATCTTCAATCATTATTCTTGGATTTTTTTTTTCACAGAACTATCAAATTGTTTTTTAAAGCTACTGATCATAGAGTCAGAGTTTTTTTTCAAAATCTTATGTTCATTAAATTGTTCCAGAATGTTCTTGAGAGACGGTGGCCTCGTTGCCTGGAGGTGTATAATAAGCTGGGCAGGTTTGATAGGGGTTGTTGGGCACTAGGGATTTCTGCACTAGATGGATGAAGGCTGATAGTGCGTAAGATCTCAATTGGAAATAATCTCTTCTGGGCCACGAAAGGAATATTGGTAATGTCAAAAGTCAGATTTAGAGCTAGCCCCCAGCTAGCTCCGGGTCTCTAGGAAATCACTCCCTCTCTGTGAACTTCACTTTCTTTGTTCACGTAATGGGAATACAGTAGTGTATCAAATATCCCCAAAGTTTAGATCAAAATAGTTTAATGATCAATGTTACAAAGGAGTAATGAATCTTAAGAAGACATAGCATTATGTCTCTAGAGAGAGAATGTTGAAACCAATACTATTGTAGTTTATTTGGAATTCTTCTGAAGAGACACTAAATTTGCTTTTTAAAGTACCGAAGGAAATTTTCGGTTTCCCCAGATATTTTTTGTTCTAGCAATTCTCAAACTATAGAAAAGTCTAGGTGATGTTTGTGAAGCTGTCACTACAGAAGTTTTTTTTAAGAATTATTTATTTTAATTTGCTATAGGGAACCCATGCTCACCAGAGAGAGCAAGAAAGTGAGAAAGCAAGCTGCCAGGTCTGGGATTCAAACCACAGTCGACCATGTGGGAGTCCAGAGCCTTAAGCACCGTACCACCTATGGGCCCCACCACAGAATTTTTAAGTTAATACAAACTTGTAAAGAAACAGATAACTTATGGGATTTACTGGAGGAGGAAAAAAAGTTACCTCACAGTGAAGAATAGATAAGAAAAAGCAAAATTGCTTTTTGGTGGGTTTTTGTTGTTTTGTTTGTGGGAATGTGGTGTTCATAGATGACTGCCCGTCTTTCTAAACCTTATAGTAATGCCAAGAAAACTTCCTGGATGTCCTTAAATCAGAGTGGTATCATAATATTCCACCTATTAAATCGGTTATGGGCAAGTTTATGTATGTCAGGTTCAAAAAGGAAAAATGATTCTGGGTAACAACAAGAAAAAAGATCCCGGAGGAACTTTGCACATCAAGCCACAGCAACCGCAGACCCTTCCACCCCTGCAGGCAATCCCGGGCTTCACGTAGAAGAGGCCGTTTCCTGCTTCCTGCCCTGTTCAGTGGGGCATCCTCCTGTCCAGATGAAGCCAGTCTTTCTTGGGGGCCAGGAGATGGGACTGCCAAGCAGTCCTTAGGAAAAGATCTCAAGAGGTCAAGAAGCGCCGTCCACTTCCTTTTACGAGGGTCCCCATGGGAGAGCCAGTTGCCCTAAGATAGTGAAACTCTTGGCTGGGTTCCGGTTCTGAAGCAGGTACGGTACCCTTTCACTGGGCAGATGGAACCCACGCCCCTGGCTCCACGTACGCAGACGCGTAACAGCGACCCCCCCTAGCACGAACAGGGCCACGTACAGAGTGAACTGTTGCTCTGCAGTACGTGGATTCTCAGCAAACCTCTTCTCTTTTTTTCTTCTTCTTTGGATTCTCACCAAGGCAGGTTTTGTTTTTATAAATGAAAGAAAAGCATTACAAAGACCAAATAGGATAAAGGAATTTGTTGGCCGAAACAGTCTGAACCTGTTCTGAACTTACTGAGTTCATTTGCAGCCCTGCCTCGCTCGGGTGAAGGAGCCACTGCGGGGGACATTCAGTTTCAGACGAATGAGCAAAAGCCACGAATGAATGCTCGCCACAGAATTGCACTGTTTCAGCAAGAGGAATGATTGTTTCTCATCAATTATAGGCAAACCAAATGGCTTCTCAAATCTTTCTTGCTTTTTACGTATCTTCAGGTAGAATTTAAGACAGGCTGTGCATTGTGGAATAGTGGGGACCCTTGCTGGAGAAGCCAGGACACCAGTGCTGACCCGACCCGTGTGACCCGGGATCATTCCTTGCTAAGTCTTGCTAAAACCATAGTTTTCTCATCTGCAAGGGGCGGGGGAGAATAATGTGCTCATTGCTGTGGTGGTTCCATTCCCCAAAGTGGACATGGATGGTGGTTCTTTTTTTCCTTTTAGGATTTTAAAAGTGTTACACTGAATTTGTCTATATCTCCAGGGAAAAAGCAAAGAAACAAAATTATGTGGGATTATAGCCTTTTTGGGGGAATAGAAAATTTAGGAATAGTACAACTTTTTTTGAAGGTAATATTAAAAATAGACCGAAACCTCCCCCTCAAGGTACCCTAAACCTGTGGGGCCCCAGGTTAGGAGCACTAAGATGCAGTGGCCTTCCCAGGCTCGGAATCCTTGCCTCTCTGGACAAGGAGCAGACACCCTCTCGGGAGCTGTGACCTCTCTCTGGTATGTGCTCTTCTGAGTATATCCCTGCAGTGCGGTTTCAAGGCGAACACAAATTTATGGCTTTTCGTCCTGAAGAATTTCCTCCAGGTGCTGCAGGGTGGCCCCTGGGGTGTGCGATGAAGTCCGTAAACCAGTGAAGGCTGCCTGGGAGCTGGGTAATGAGCCATGGGGTCCCTGGTGAGGGCTTCCTCCATTTCCTCTTCCTGTCTCTAAGGATGGGGGGGGGGCGCGGGCTGGGCAACCGCAGCCCACATGCTCCTATTAATTTCTTGCAGTTCTCACATAAAACCATGCAAATGTGAACAAAGCCTATCACTCCCAGAAGATCTAGTTTCTCTATATTTGCCAATAGTGAAAAAAAATTGGAAAAATCAGACATGGAGCCACAGCGAGAAACAGCACCCCCTTAGGAAACCCTTGGTAACATTTGAACACATTTCCCTCCAATCTTTTTATATGTGAAATAACGTCTTTCTTCTTCTTTTAGATTTTTGTCATAGGGCTCATGTGCTCACAAGAGAAACAGAGAGGGAGAGGGAGAGGGGGAAATCACCCTTCAGCGGGATGGCCATGCCACAATCCCTTCTCCATTCTCCTCCCAAGATCTGGAGCATGCACACACGTGCACCTAACGTGATTTTCAAGCCACCAGGTACGGAACTCCAAGGATAATTGGCCACGTGGGAGCCCAGCACCTTAACCACCAGGGCACCCGCTAGCTCCAATAATGTCTCACTTTTATTGATGATTTTAATGGCTGAATGTAAGAGGCCATCTCAATCGAATCCATTGCCATTTTCTCAAATGCACAGTTGAAGAAGTTTCTATTATTACATCCTGTTAAAGTGAACAGTTTGCACTGTAGTGCAAGTGGACTTCTTCTGATTACCGTAACAATAAATAGTTATTATGTCCAGAGATACAGCCATTTTGAAAAACTTCTGGGGGCCGGCAGATGGTGCAGTGGTTAAGACACTGAACTCCCATGCAGCCAACTGCGGTTCAAGTCCCAGATCTGATGGCTTGAAAATCATACCAGGCACATGTGCGTGTGTGTCCAAAATCCCAAGAGAAGAATGGAAGAGAAGGGATTTCCGAGTGGCCATTCCCCCTGGAGGGTGATCTCTCACTTTCCCTCTCACTGTTTGACTCTGCGGTTTCTCTGGAAAGTGCCACATGCCCTATGGCCAAAAAAAAAAAAAAAAAATCTTTAAAAAGGAAGAAAACTTCTGAGACCAGTATATTAGCCCTCAGGCAACTTCCCCTTCCCTTTTTATCTCTTAAAGCTGGTGGGTTGCTGTAAGACTCGGCCAGGGGCCCAGGGGCCCAGAAGCGTCTGTGGAGCTGAATTAAGGACTCCTTAATAACAGACGGGAACTGCTTATCATGACGCAGGCACTAAAGGCTGCTTCTC